GCACTGACACCTGCCATCAAGGAGCTCTGTGGGGGCGGGGCGGGGTTGCTGGGGATACTGTGGGGGGACTCTGTTGGGGGGAGCTGTGAACGGGGCTGAGGAAGAGGAATCAAATGCCATCCCTTCTGGGCCGCTGTTCACAAACTTGGGCTCATGTCACTGCCCCCTGGGGGGTTTGTGGAAACACAGATTGCTGGGCCCACCCCCAGAGGGGTGAAGTGGTAGATCTAAGGCAGGACCTGAGAATATGCGTTCCTACAAGCTCCCAGGTGACACTCCACACTCAGGACCAGAGCTCTAGTCTTCTCGCATGGACAGCATTTTAAGTTTAGGAAGCATTCAAACATCACCTCGTCCTATTGGATCCTCCCCACACCCTGAGAGAGAAGCAAGCAGGCAAGAGAGGGGCCCCAGAGGAGCCAGAGAGGTGTGAAGGAGCAGGGCCTCCAGGAGCACATCCAGCAGTCCGCCCAGTCCAGCTCTCTTTGCAGGGCATCTCTCCACCCACGTTCAACTCCCACCCCGCTGTCCTGCCCGCCAGGTTCCAGCCTGGGGGGGGGGACCTTCTTTCCTTGGCGCTGGGGTTACCGGGCTGGTCTGCAGCCTCAAATTTGCGCTCTCCCCAGAACACTGCAAGTCTGGCCTCCTTCTCCTCACTGGGACCTCAGCTCAAAGATCGCCACCTGGGGCAGTCTCCCTTCCCCAACCCTCCTGAAGTCCTCCCCCTCTCTCCCTCCCTTACACTGCCCAATACGGTAGCCAAAAACCACGTGGGGCTGTTTAACTTGTAATTCATTAATGAATGAATTATTAAGACAATATTTAAAATTCAGTTCCTCAGCCACACAAGCCACATTCAAGGGCTCAGTAGCCCCATGTTTGGCTACTAATATTGGACAGCGCAGATATATACATGCTGCCGAAGCGAGCACTGGACAATGCAGATATAGAACATTTCCCCTGCCACAGAAATTCTCCTGGACAGCACTGCTCCAACCTTTATTTTATTATCTTCTTAGTATTAATCACTATTTGAAACTTTATTCATTTACTTATTTGTTGTCCGCCTTCCCCTCCTAAAACAGAAATTGAAGATGAGGAGTACGATTCTCTTTCTTACCACTGCACCCTCAGTGCCTGGTATAATAGCTAATGTTTCTCTGAACTAGATGTTCAGGAAATACTCACTGGGAAGGTATTTTTCGAGCACCTGCAAAGAATAGCGACAGAGGTCACCCTGAGATTCTCTTGTTCATCTGGGAGAAAATGGACCTGACTGTCCTCTGTGTGTTGTATAGTGGCATTGTTACTTTCCTCTGCCAGCCCCTTCCACAAATCCCCACCCCTGCCCAGCTGCCAGGGAAAAAACTTCTCCTGCCTTGTGCCCCCTGCTGGGGCGGGGGAGTCCCAGGGGAGCAGCGGAAGGTTTTATTCAGGAAAAAGACTCTCCTTGGACCTGGGAAGGGCAGAGCAGGGCCTGGGGGCAGGTGGAGATGGCACTGCCCGGAGCAGAGTGAAGAGCAGGGAGAACACTGACTCGTGGCATGGACCTGGGAGTTTTAAATGTGCTCGACGTACCCTTCAACAAAGAACCACCACCCTGCCCCCTCTTCCCTTCCATACCTTGGGCTTTGTTTTTGTCCGCCTTGTAGGTTTCCCAGTAAAAGTTTCTTTGAAAACGTTCAACTTGGTCCCTGATGGCTTGAAGGGTAGAAATACAAGTGGGGCACACTCTGGGATCAGGGACACCTGGGTTCAAACCCTAGCTCTGAAGTTCTGTGACCTTGACAACTAGGCTCTTCTGAACCTGTTTTTCCTTCTGTAGGTTGAGGGGTTTAAACAAGACGATGCAGGTGCAAAGCATAGCATGGTCCCTGGCACGTTGTAGGTGTTTTGTGATTGATAATTTTCTTCTCTCCCTCTTCTTGCTACTTTGGGTCCAAAGATCCAGAAGAGTAGATAACCCTTGAAGAGAGCAGCTTTGCCAACCATAGAAACTGAGAAGAGCTTTGAGATAGAATAGGATAGAAATGCCAAAAATCATGGGGAACCAAATAGGCAGAGAACGCAGAGAGAGGTGGCATTCAGAAAGGAGATGGGGGGACTGGCTGAGGCTACAGCCTTTCCTGCCCTCCTAGGCTTTCCCATCTGAGACCATGTCTCGTGTGTGTTACCAAGGATAAGAAACAGCTCCATGGCCAACCTCTGCAGAAGATACTGTCCTTTTTAAACATTCAGATCTGGAAGGAACCAAGAGGGCTGCAGGCTCTGAGTTCCCTGCAGGACACCTGGGCTCAAGAGGCCCCCCCAAACATAATTGCCTTGCACCAGTCCTACCAGATTCTGAGAGCCACATATCCTCCCTGCTCGTCTGGGATCAAGGAAGACTCCATGACTTCTCTCAGCCTAAGCTTGCTTGGCAGTGTTTCTCTCCCTCCAGTGTTACTTGGATTCTTATTTTCTGTTCCTGGGTTGATGGATATTTGTTTTGCTGAACCAATGAGCCCTTTGTAAGTCTTTGATCCTTTGAAGGAGGCGGGTGCAAACAAAGAAGCAAAGGCTAGCTATCCATCTGTGGGACATTTGTTCTTATCCAAAGGATAAAGGGGAGAAGAGGAAAGGGAAATGAGAGAGAGGGCGAGTTGGGAGATGGACAAGGGAACCAGCAGCTGTCAACACGGACACACAGCTGGTGAGTAGCCGGGCCGGTCTACGGTCAATGCGTGAGGAACAGAAGCAGCTTCTAGGCTGGGGTTGTGGGTCTTCCAGAGAGAGGACGAGGTCTCAGAGGAAAGGAGGAACTTATGGAAGGGCAGGCCCCGTTCATCAGTCCAAGCGCCAGGTGCCAAGCACCAGGTGCCAAGTGCCAATTAGGGCTCTGAGACCCAACTCCAAGTCAGAGCTCCGGGCGCCATCCAGTGGCCACTGGGGAGACTACAGGAGGAAGGAGCCGGGAAGGAAAGAAAAGCCAGAGAAGGCGGTCCTGGCCGGTTCTGGTCAGGAGGAAAGGAGGGAGCCACCCTGTGCCCTCAGTGCTCCCCTCATCAGTTGAGGACTCGCTTCTAATCAGACTCCCCAGGCTGCTGCCTCATCTGGCTGGGGTTATCTCACTGCGTGACCTTGGGCAGGCAATCCCGTCCTCTAGGTCTGGTGTGCCAATGAGCACATGCCTGGCACTGCTTAGCACTTCAGCTCACCTGCCGCTCCTGTGTGGGGAAGATCTCAGTCATCCTGCTCCCCCATACTCGTCACCCCTGACCCACCCGTTCATGCCATGCAGAAACTCCAGCCATGGATTAGGTCTGGGTTCCAGGCCTCCTCCTCCAGGATCTCTCCCTGCTTACCTGCCCTTACACACCTGCTCCATGTTCTCACCTGAAGGTCCCTCCTTCTGCTGCAGGGATAGTCAGGGGCACCTCACCGCCTCAGCCCTGAGCTATCTGCCCCCACCATGGGCTTTTCTCAATTATGCTTCTCCCCCTTCAAGCCTAGCAATGTGCTGGGCATCGACGTGCTTCAGAGGTCTGCTCTGAGGTCAGCGTGTGGGGCTTCAGACCCGTGTGCAGGCAGAATAACAACCCCACCCCCCGCCAAAGATGTCCACACTCAAGTTTCTGGAACATGTGACTATGTCACCTGATGTGGCAAAGAGATTTTGCAGCAGTGATGAAGTCAGAGATTGAGATGGAGAGATTAGTGTGGATTATCTGGGTCAGCCCAGCATAAACACAAGGGTCCTTGTAAAATGGAAACAGGAGGGTCAGAGTCCCAGAAGGAGGTGTGATGCCAGAAGGTGAGGTGGAAATGACACCAGGCCACAAAACAAGGAAATCGGGAACCCCTAGAAGCTGGAAAAGGCAAGAAAACAGAAGTTTTCAGAAGCAATGCAGCCCTGCCGGCCTGTTTTACACTTCTGAACTCCGGAACTATAAGGTAATTAATGTGTGTTGTGTAAAGCCACTGAATTTGTGACAATTTGTCACGGCAACCATAGGAAACTAATATACCTTGGTTCTGCTTCTTAGTAGTTCTGTGACCTTGGGAAACTTACTTAAGTTCTCTATGCTTCAGTTTCCTCCCTATAAAATGGGGATGATAAAGGCGATAATTCCTATCTCATAAGGTTGTCTGAGGATAAAATGGAAACATCTGCAAATCACTTAGAGTAATGCCCAAGACAAAATATGTTAACTCTTGTTAAGATTAATAGCTACCATTAATTGAGGGCCTAACATGTACCAGGCACAGTTCAGATGCCTTGGAATAATTTCCTCCATTCTCACCATCACGCCTGGGGGTAACAATTTCAATCCCCATTTTACAGATAAGGAAACAAACCCAGAGTAATTGGCCAAAATCTGGAGAACTGGAGTATTTTAATCTTAGCAATTTTTTATATGCACCTGGGCTCTCTCCTGATAGAGGGTTGGCTTTTGTTTTTGTTTACGGGGTGCGGGAGAGGGGTGAAGAGGGCGGGTCACAGCCTGAACAGCTGCTCTGGCCGGAAGTCCTGGCTGATACCTCCTCTTCTTTCTTCGTAGTGGAGGAGGGAGGTATCCAAAGCGACACTCACCCTAACTGCCCCATCCCGTCCATTTAGGGGTTCAGCGACTCCCCAACCCAGTTCTAGCAGTTTTTCAGCCCGATCTGGGGGCACCAGGAGATAAGCACGGCCAGAGAAAGAAGCCCTCCATCCGCTGGGTCTTGCTCAAACTCCAAGGGTGCGCGCTGAGCCCCTCCTCCCTTCCCGCAGCCCGCATAAGGAGCCGTCTGTTCGCCGCTGAATAAACAAGGGGGGGAAGCAGCGCTCAGCCCCCTGCCCCCCAGCCCGACCCCCGCACAATGCGCCTTTCTCCGAGGAGCCGCCCGGGCGCCGCCGGAGCGCGTTCCGTCTGTCCTCCCCTCCCCCTGGCGGCCCAGCAAGACCCACAAACCGACCCCGTGGAAACAAAACAAAAAAAAAATTTTTTTTTTTTTTTTAAGAAAAAACAAAAAGGAAATCCAACAAAGAACTGAGCGCAGAAGCAGCGAGGGCGTGCGGACGTAGCGCCCCTTCGGTCCCCCGCAGTCCGGCTTCTGGTCCAGGCGAGGCCAGCTCCAGCGCAGCGCCGGGGAGCCCGCCAGCGCCCCCTTCTCGACAGCCCAAGTCCTGGGGGCCCCCCCGGTGCCCCGACGGCGCCCCGAAGGCACAGTCCGCGGGGTCGCGCTCCTGCCCGGCTCCCGGCCACCGGCGGCCCTCACTTCTGGGTGGCCAGCTGGTTCTCCAGATCCTCTAGGCGCGCCGTCAGCTGGGCCAGTGAGCGGTTAAGGAAGCCGCTGGGGGTCTCGGGGGTTCCTACACCACCACCACCACCCCCGCTCCAGCCCGGCCCCCCTCCCCTCCGGCCTCAAAGGATATGGTTCTGCGTCAGCTTCTCGAGCGCCCCCAGCGTGCGGCCCTGGAACTCCACGAGGTTTTCGCATTCGCAGGGACTTTGAAGCTCTGTGCCCGCGCCGATGCCCTCCTCTGCCAGCGGGGCACAGAGAGTCAGGGGAATGAGAATCTGCAGGAGGACGAGCCGGCCCTGGCAAGGGCCTCGGATACACCTGCACCCGCCTGTGGCTGTGTATGTGGGCTTCGGATTCAAACAGACCTGGGGTGAATACCAGCTAGGCAGGCGTGAGATACTGCAAAACTCACGCAACCTTTCTAAGCCTGAGTTTCCTTGTGTGTAAAAATGGGTACAGTGGGAAACTTATTTATTGGTGGTGCTGAGGATTCTATGGTGTGTGTGTGTGTGTGTGTGTGTGTGTGCGCGCGCGCGCGCGCGCGTGCGCGTGGACATCTTAAAAGAGTATTTCTCAAACCTTTGTGCTCTTTGGAATCACCAAATCTTGTTAAAATACCGATTCTGATTCTGAATGGTCAAAGAGCTGAGACTCCACATTTCTAATTAGCTACCGAGTGATGCTGGTGCTGCTGGTCTATGGACCACACTTTGAGTAGCGAGAGTCCAAATGACAGCCGCACTCTCCAAATGAAACTTCATGCGGTGATGGGACTCTTCTGTTTCTGGTCTGTCCAGTGCCATACCCACAAGCCACGTGCAGCTATTTAACATTTGAAATGTGGCTAATGTGATTAAAGAACTAAAATTTTGAACTTTTAAAAGTAATTTAAGTGGGCACATCTACCTTATTAGAGAGGGAAGATCTAGTGTATTGCCTAGTTCAAGTATATACATTATTGTGTATTTCAATTAGACCAGTAATTCTCCAAGTGTGGTCGCTGGACCAGCACCATCAGTACCACCTAGAAAGTTCTTAAAATGCAAATCATCAGACTCCACCTCAGACCTACTGAGTCATAAATTCTAGGGTTGGAGTCTAGCAAATGGTGTTTTAAACCCTCCACACTGATGTTTAAAAAACACTGATCCAGGGGTGCCTGGGAGGCTCAGTCGGTTAAGCGTCTGCCTTCACCTCCGGTCATGATCTCAGGATCGAGCTCTGCATCAGGCCCCCTGCTCATCAAGGACTGTTTCTCCCTCTGCACCTACCTCTCACTCGTGCGTTCTCTCTCCCTCAAATAAATAAATAAACTCTTTAAAAAATAATAAAAATAAAAACCAATGACCCAAACAAGCAAACAAAAACCAGTGATCCAACTCTATTTCCGCACACACTTCAACATTCCTGAAATCAAAATATGTGCCTTACAATTAAATCTGGCACCTTTTTTTTTTAGCGGTATATAAAATAATGGAAAGTCTTATAATGGACGGTATCTTAGATTCACCAAAATTTTGTAAACGTGTGCCCTTTTTCATATAACAGCACAATGCCTTCACAAAAGAGTTGTTCTTATGATTTAAGAGTGATTTCTTAGTCTAGTTGCACCCTTAGCAGATTGCTGTATGATAGGTCATCAATGGTACTGATAAGGTCCTGCAAAGATGCCTGTCTTCACAGCTGGGGAAACCAGGGGCCAGAGAAAGGGGAAGATCTGCCCAAGATCACACAGCTGATTGGTGAAGAGCCTCACCACAGACCCCAGATTTCTCTTAGAATTTTAGAGCTGGAAGCAAGCTTGGGCAGCCAGGGCCTGCCCCTGTTGCAGAAGAGGGAAGTTAAGGTAGGGATGGAAGTTAAGTGACTTGCCCAAAGTCACACTGCAGTGTGTCAGGACAGGAAGGGCCCTGACAGAGCAGCTAATCCAGTGCTTCCACAATACTGTAGCAAATTATTAGAGTTAGCCTGGAGAGAGAGAGGAAGAGGGACATAGGTAGGTAGGCGTGTATGTGTATTATGTATATGCACAGACACACACCTGGGTGTTTACATGTGTATATACACAGATGTGTATGTATATACATATATACTTTATGTATATGTATATGCATATGTATTTTATATAAGTTTTTTTTTTTTTTTTTGACTACAGATTCTCTAGGCCAGCCCAACTAGGCCAGCTACTGAACCTAGCTCTGGAGGGGCCTGGTAATGTGAAAGAGTCACATATGGCCTGGGTTAGAGTCTGAAGACTCTGTGGTAAAAATTACCCCCAAGAAGTTCCCTATATGACCTGTGAAGTACAGTACACAGGTTCAACAGCCCGCTTCTCCTCCACAGAGAGAGTTGGTCCCTTTTTCATCAACTGAGCACCAGATGAAGTAGAGGGACTGAATTTATGGGCGATATTGTAAAAAAAAAAAAAAATACATGTCTTTGTGGACTCGGAACACTCAGTCCTGTCACTTTGCCGGCTCCGTGTAGTTGAATTCCAACACGTCATAAAAGAACATGTGAGGTGCCACTGCTAGCAAGGACTCTGGCATGCCTTGGAAAAAGTTTCCTCAAACTACTGTGAACACCCACTAATGTGAGGGGCAGGAAGCCAGCCCAGTCTAGTGCTTAGCTCTGACGTCCTTGGGAATCACCCAAGGGTCTGGTTAAAGTACAGAATCTGATTCTTTCGGTCTGGAGAGCTCTGGAAATGCTGCGGTTCTAACAAGCCACCAGGTGACAAGTCTGCCGCTGGTCCAGGGACCACACTTGGAGTAACAAGGGTCTAACTAGTGAGTCGGACCCCTGGCTATAACTCTACCAAGGGAACAGGGCTGGATAGGAGAGGGGAAGCTCGGAGGCTGGGCATTGAGTGAAGGCAGATGCGCTCACCCGGGCAGATGCTGCCTCTGAGGTTGTCCAGCAGGTGCGTCATGGTGCCAAAGTCAGGGGAGTAGGACACATGCAGCTCTGAAGGCTCCGAGGCGATCTGCCGGAGCTCCTCCTCCACCGCCTTGCCCACGCCCACAGCGTACATGACGATGCCTACAGGGTCGGGGTTTGCGGTGGGGGCGGGGGCGGGATAGGGAGACACAGTGGGCGCCCCAGGCCTCAGTTAAGACCGCCTTCCGCATCCCACTTAACCCCAGGCCAGTGCGTCCCGTGCCAAGCCCACCTTCCTCCTTGGCCCTTGCGGCCCACACCGAGATGTCATCCTGGGAGCGGCCGTCGGTGAAGACCAGGCCCACGCGAGGCACGTTGAGGGCGCGGGGCCGTGCGCCCTGCGCCTCGGAGAAGCTGTGCTCCACCATGTGGCGCAGCGCCAGCCCGGTCATGGTACCGCGTTCCATGTATTCCACGGCCAGGACCGCCTGCTTGACCTCGGCCGCGGTACCGTAGCGCCCCAGCGGGAACTCGGTGCGCACGCGGCTCGAGAACTGCACCAGCCCCACACGCGTGCCCTCGGGGGACACGTCCAGGAAGTCCACGATCTGGTTCACGAAGCGCTTCACCAGCTCGAAATTCTGCGGGCGCACGCTCTTGGAGCCATCGACGAGCAGAACCAGGTCGACGTGGCCTTCCCGGCACCCTGTACGGTGAGAAGAGCTTAAACTGGGGGCCCGATCCTGTGCTGGCAGCTGCCATCTACCCACCTGGTCATTCACATTTATTACATTACAGGTACCATGTGTGAAGTCCTTCCTGTGCCAGGCACTATACTAGATAATAATGGTAATAATAACAAATTAATAAAACTTTATGAAAATAATAAATTTATCAAAATAATATACATTGAAAAACATATGTTGTTAATATATAAACAATCACAACAATAAATAAAAACAAAAACATTATTATTTGACAGCTTACTGTGTGCCAGGAATTGGGCTAGGTGCTTCATATATTTTTTTCTCAATCCTCCCAATAATCTTAGGTATTATCCCCACTTTATATAACCTTAGGTTCTGAAGGATAATTTGCTCCAGACTCCATAGCTAATAGTGACTGAGCAGGATTTGAAGCCAGCTCGGTCTGACCCCAAAACCCATGCTCCTAAATCACTCTACAAAGTTACCTCCCCTGTTCTGAATTGGAGACTTCGCTAGGCCCTGAAGGGGGTTCAACAATTAATTAACATAACTGGGATCCTAAGGAATTCAGGACAGAACAGAGCAGTCAGACATGCCCTATGCTACAGCCAAGGAAAGTGCTAGAAGAGGGGCATTTAGAGAGCCCACGGTAGGAATAATTCTCTCTTCCTGGAGTTGGGGAGGAAGGTTGCATGGAGGTGGTAACATCTGATTTGTTCTTCCAGGAGGAACAGGTGTGCTAGGAGACCTGCTAACCAGGTTGAGATGAGGTGAGGCAGTGGTTTCAAAATTTTGATCGCACCCCACAGTCACAATAATAGTACAACAGGACACCCTTCGGATGCGCACGTATAATTAAATTTCATGAAACAATAGTTATTCTTTCCACATGCAGTAAGCTCTGTTTTCTCCTTAAAAAAAAAAAAAAAAACTAATTTGATTTCATTATCCACTAAGGTGCCTGCACCCACCATCTGAAAAACTCAGGGATAAGGCATCTGAACTCAGGGGTAGGCATTGGCAAGCCCAGAAGACTCTCGAGCGAGGGAGAAATAGGAGCAAATGTGTACTTTTGATATTAACCACGACAGCAGAGTAGAGGATTGAGAGGAAAGAGATGGAGGCCGGATACGGCACGCCCTCCACCCCCCACCCCACCATCACCAACACTACACATTCCCAGCACACCCTTGAGCCACAGAATCAAGGATGCTCATAATGTGGGCCGGGAGAGGCGGTGGGAGGGTGGGGGGGGCAGGGGCAGACAGAACACCCTCCCACCCGCCACTCACGGTTGCAGCTCTTGCCATCTGCCTGGAGTTGCTGGCCCTTGGGGCACAGGCAGCGGTAAGAGAGGCCCTCACTCACACACTGGAACTCGCATCCATGGTCTACACCATTGCAGAGGTCCCGGGCTTCAAGGAGAGATGAGTCAGGATGGATCAGGGTGGACTCCGCCACTCAAGATCCCTTACCCCTCTGCATAAACACAAGAGACCCCTCCTCACCCTGACAGCTCCTCCCATCAGGCAGCAAGTCGTGGCCCTCTCTGCAGTAGCACCGTGGCCCACCAAAGGTGCTAACACACTCATGCTGGCAGCTGTGGTTCCCAAAGCTGCAGTGGTCAACGGCTGGTGGGAAGGAAGAGCAAGAACAAGGTGTCGCTTCTGACTCGAGCCATCACGGACCTCAGTCCAGGATGCAAGGGGTGGGGCTCGCTCACCCCTGCAGCTTCTCTGGTCCTGCTGGAGTACAAAGCCAGCTCGGCAGCGACAGAAATAGGAACCTGGGGAGCTGATGCAGTGATGCTCACAGCCATGGGTCCTTTGAGAGCACAGGTCAATGGCTGAGGAAGAGGTGAGGTCAGCATGTGCCCTGGGAGGGGCTGCACTTCTCAGCCCCAACAGAACGGTCATCAGAGGAGCTTTTCAAAAATACCTATGCCTGGGCCCCAACCCCGCAAAATCCTGACTTAATTAGTCTGGGGTGGTACCCAGGCATCTCCAATTTCCTAGTGGGCCAGGTGGCTCTCCTGACTCAAAACCCAGCTGCCTCCTAATGTGCCCCTTACTAACCCAGGCATAAGAACCAGAATTGACAATTGCAGAAGACAGGGCCCCTGCCCTCAAGATGCTCACTGACACAGAGGAGGACCAGGCTCTGCCATTACCTACTGAGCCCCCATTTCTCCATCTGCAAAATGGGAATATAATGGAAGAGTACAATTGCTATTTACAACTTCCTTCTAAGGAGGGTGAACTATTATTGCCTGCTGAGTATCAATTGATGGTTGAGATGTGCAAAGATAGCCCAGAGCTGAGCTGGAAAATAGGAACTGGGGAGATACAGATTGCCATGCATGAAAAAAGTGAGAATTTGGGGTTCCTAGGAAAGAGATGGGAGTGGAGAGAGGAAGAACAAGAGAGAGTGTGAGCATGAGTTCCTGCGTGGGCTGAGGTTGCCAGCGAAAAATCACTTCTAATGGGGCGACAGGACTTTGGGGATCAAGGGTGTCTAATATTCAATTATTAATAGTGGGTGTTTCTTTCATGTGTGTATGTTTGACTTTACTTAGATGTAACTCACACCTCTGTCCACCCCCATCTTTAGTAAAATGGACATATGCACAACTTACATGTACACACACATGTCCTTGTGTGCACAAGTGTACAAATCAAAGAAGAGACTGATTTACATGCATAAAACAAGAAAAGCATGTGCGAGTTGAGAAATTGAGTGAGGACCCAGAAGTTCAGAATGAGAGGTGACCATAGAATGTAACACTTGGGGAATTCCCAGAGATGTTGGGGAATGATTCAAATGTTCAGAAGTCATCACATGAGGCTTCAAGCCAGCTTTTTCTAAGTTCTGGAAATAAGAAGACCCCAGCTGACATCTGCATTTTGGGGAACACATGGCTTCTTTTCCCCAGTAGTCATGAGATTGAGAGTTGATATATGGAAAGCTTCAAGTGCATTGTCTAATACTAAATCGGTACTCTGTGAATGGTAGCTGCCATCATGATCAAAGGAGTGGACACACATACACACAAAAAAGCAAATTCCATTTGTATAAGGAAGGCATAGTGTGCCATAGCTTTTCAGAAGACAAAAATGAAGAACCAGGCCTTGAAGCATTTGCAGAAAGAAGTAGCAAGGGCAGCCCAGAAAGAGCTGAGATGCAGAAGCAGAAATGAACAGTGTATATAGAGGTGTAGGGAGGAGTACGGAGACCCTAACTGAAGACTGCAACAGTGAGTGTCTAAGTAACAGAAACAGTAAGAAGATATCCATGTGAGAATTCACAAACAAGTTTGGGAGGCCAGGTAGGAGACAAGGCTGAAATAAGGGAAAGAATGATGTAAAAAGCACACTTAACTGTGGGGTCAAGATTTCATCAAGGAATTGTGTGGCCGCAGGCAATGCTGTCCCTTTCTTGGACCCATAAAGTAAGGGCACTGAACTTTTACTCCAAAAGCCCTTCCAGACTCATTGGTCTGATCCTGGGGCAATAGGGAGCCACAGAAGACTCAGGGCAGGAGCAGCTCTCACCCAAACAGCTCTTGTTATCTGCAGCTAGCTGGTAGCCAGGGTTGCAGGCACAGTGGAACGTGCCTGGGGTGCTGACACATTGGTGCTGGCAGCCGTGTTCCCCCTCAGCACACAGATCCTTTCCTGAGGACACACAACAGTAGAATCAGTGAGAGACAGATGGGCAGAACCCTCCAACAAGAAAAAACTGGGTGGGGTCAGAGGCAGGCACCAAACTCAAGTACAACTTTAGAGGGGACAAGTCTCATTTGAGAGCGCCAGTCCAGATGAGAGGGCTTAGAGAAAGAACAGGGCCTGTGTAGCTCCCATGAATAGGCTCAGAAGGGGTCACCGGGCTAAATGCCGGCTAAATGCAGTGACATAGGGCAGGACTGCTCAGGGACAAGACAGAGGAGGTGGAGAGGTACTAAATCAAGGTGGGTGAATTAAGTCAAGGCGTGACTAGACCAGACCTGCTGCATTGTGGGAGGAACTAAAGTGACAGTGGGCGGGGCCATGCCCATGTGGGCGGGACATGACTCTTTCGGGTGGGCGATTGTTCTCAGCTTCGAAAGGCGGTGCTTTTTGTGTCGAGGGCGATTTTGGAGTTTGACCTTAGGCCTGTGGTAAACCACAATAGCTCATCCGGGTGAGCAGGCACGCTAAATGTTGTTTCTTGTGGGCGAAGCCTAAGCAAAAGTGGGCAGAGCTGGAATTTGAAACAGCCTGAGGCAGCCGGGCGCCTCGCCACCATCTGGTGGGCGGAGCTAACGCAGGAGCGGGCGGTGCCTCCCGGGATAGAATGTTATTTACGTGGAGGGAAGCGGCATCCAAGCGTCTGGGTAGTGCGCGCCTCGCTCCAGTGCTCCCCTAACTCACCACACAGCCGGCCCTGGAACTGCAGGCCAAACTCCTGGATAAGATCGAAGGACTCAACGAGGAAGACGTGCTCGTCCAGCGGGGGAGACGCCATGGCCCGCAGGGAGCCCACGTCGGCGCGCTGCACACCCACCGCGTAGATCTCGATGCCCCGGGCGCGCGCCTGCGCCGCCACCTCAGCCACGCGATCCTGGGGCCGCCCGTCGGTCACGATGACAGCGACGCGCGGTACGCGCGCCTCCGGCGGGCGCGCACCCTCGGCCACACTGAAGGCCACGTTCATGGCGTACTGGATTGCCAGCCCGGTCATGGTGCCCTGAGCTAGCGGCACCAGCGCGCGGATGGCGCGCTCCATGTCCTCGCGTCGCGAGAAGGCGCCGAGTGGGAAGACGCTCTGCACTTGACTCGAGTACTGGATCACGCCGACGCGCGTGGCATTGGGCCCCACGTCCAGGCCGCGGAGGAGGCCCACCAGGAACTGCCGCATGGTCTCGAACTCAAAGGGGCGCACGCTGCGCGAGCTGTCAATCACGAACACCAAATCCAGGGGTCCCGTCCGACACCTGGGACCTTCGAGAAGATCAGGAAGGACTTTCCTAGGTCTGCAAAACCTCATCTTGGAGGAGATCCCCAAGAAACCCAGGGCGAAGTGGTGCCATCCCAGGGGTAATAGCGCCTAGCGCAGAATTAACCTAGTAAATGTGAGTTAGATACATTCACTTAGCATTTGCTAAGGGCCTGGGCCAGATTTCCCCCAATTCTCTATCCTACAGCTCTTAGGGCTGTTCTGAAGAGGTATTCTACAATTCGGGAGTAGGTGAAGGGATATGGCAATCTCAAATGTCTATAGGGACCAGGCAGGTAACATAAATGAATGAACTGGTTGCGTTAGGCTGGCGGACACACGTATCCCTTCTACGGCCAAATGTGGACCCCAAGGTAACAGATCCTTGGATTTTTCAAGAGAAGTCCCAAATCGGGATTTGTATGTGAAGTCTCCTGATTTTTTAATTAACTTTTTAAAAATTAGGGGCGCCTGAGTGGCTCAGTGGGTTAAAGCCTCTGCCTTCTGCTCTGGTCATGATCCCAGGGTGCCGGGATTGAGCCCCGCATCGGGCTCTCTGCTCAGCAGGGAGCCTGCTTCCTCCTCTCTCTGCCTGCCTCTCTGCATACTTGTGATCTCCGTCTGTCGAATAAAGAAATAAAATCTTTTAAAAATTAAATTAAATTAAACACCAATGGGCAGTTTTGCATGAGCACAACTTTGTCATCTCTAAGCCACATCCTACAGATAAGGAAATCTGAGTCCCAGAGAGGGGAAGCTGTGAACTAGAACCCAGCCCCTTTATGATTTCAGAACCTTTGATTTTTCTCTCCCCAGCAGACCTAGCTGGCTGCAGAGGGATAATCAGTTTTTGCTCCCTTCCCCCTGTTGGTGAGCCCCACTCACCTGCAAACTGGAGCTGGGTTTCCCAGGGCTGGAGAAAAAGCAGCAACATGAGCAGTGGCGAGCACAGAAGGCCCCTCATGGCGCTTGAGTGGCAGGGAACAGAAGTATTGGAGCCTGGACCCTACAAAGAAAAAAGCAAAGCAATAATGTTTACGGAACTCTTATTCTGGGTGATGGGCACTTGGAGGGGGAGAAGGATTATGGATTTTTTTTTTTTTTTTACTAATCTCTCTACCTTTGTGTATGTTTGAAGTTTGTCATAATAAAAAAAATATTGCAGGGACGCCTGGGTGGCTCAGTTGGTTAAGCAGCTGCCTTCGGCTCAGGTCATGATCCCAGTGTCCTGGGATCGAGTCCCACATCGGGCTCCTTGCTCAGCAGGGAGCCTGCTTCTCCCTCTGCCTCTGCCTGCCATTCTGTCTGCCTGTGCTCGCTCTCTCTCCCTCTCTCTCTCTCTGACAAATAAATAAATAAAATCTTTAAAAAAAATATTGCATTTACAGTGCTGGGCAATACAAGGAATTCTACTCTGCCGAATTGCAGAATAGTAAATAAATAGAAAGTAGATTTTAAAAATAAAACATTTAAAAAGAAAGGACCCTCTAAAAGAAACAAAAACAAAAATAAATGAAAAAGAAAAAAGACCTTTCTGAATACCGAGCACAGTGTTAAATGCTTCTTATGCACTCGGACATTTAATCCTCTCGGCAATTCTATGAGACTAAGACCGTTATTGTTCCCATTGTACAGATCAGGAAACAGGCTCAGAAAAGGTAAACTCTGGTACCCAAAGTCTTTTGGCAAGAAAGTGGTTCACCACCGTACAGTCCTATGTTGAAGCGGTTCCCAAAACTAGCGGCGCGTTCGGCTCCGCGCGCTCTTCTCCCGGGAGAACCTCTGCAGACGAAAGCCTGCCAGTCCCCCTCCTCGCTCCCCTTCCCCTCCTCACATAAGGCGCTTCTGTGTGGCCGTCCTTCCAACACACGCACGCGCGCACACACACGAACCTACACACTCAAACATGCACCGCCAAGCCTCAGGCCGCCGGGGAGAGCCGCGCCCTTTCACGGGTCTCTGGGGGTTGGGGACCCGCAGCACCGAGGCCAAAACCCACCACGCAAGTTTGGCGCCTCCGCTTCCCTCCTGCTCTCAGGAGAGGCCGCCAGGGGGCGTCTTCCTGGGTCTGGCTGCGTTGGCTAGGTGGCCGTGGGAAGCCCACATCTGCCTAGCAGGTGCCCCTGCCCAGAGCAAACAGTGGCCGGGAGCCTGGAGGCCTTGGAGATAAGCCCGGGGCAGGATATATCCCGCACAAGGGCCAAGAAGCAGGCGCGCGCAGGGTTCCGGGGACAGCAGCATTGGATGAGCCCGGAGGGCGGTGAGTGGGCCCGAGTGTGGTCATGGACCCTGTACGGGCAACAGGTGAGCGCTCACTCTTCCACTGCCCTTAGAGACGGCCCTTGATAATCCCGAAGAATTCCCGTGCACAGATGGGAAAACTGAGGCCCAAGAAGGCTGCCCGCTGAGCTGCAAAGGAACCTGCGACTAGAACCCGGGACTCCTGGCTTCCTTTCTCCCTTCTGGGCTGCCTGGCTGCCTAGCAACCTGGCTCCTCGGAGTCACTAAAACTCTCTTCCTTACATCTCCTCCTACTGCTCTGTACCCCACTCGCACTGCTCTGTACCCCGCTCCCACTGCTCTGTACCCCACTCGCACTGCTCTGCACTCCGCCCCGCCCCCGCCCCATGCTGAAGCTGCCTTAGCCATTTTTCTGTTGCGTGTTTCTTGGCAGAGGGGACCAGCTGCCTTAACCCAACCGCAGCCCCTCTACCCCCCTCCCCCAATTCCGTGAATGGGCCTATTCTGAGCAAGGTCGGGTGCCTACAGCTCGCTCATTCCAGGAGGCCTTTCCTACCCGGATCCTCTCCGCCCTCGCCTTTCAGGCCTAGTAGAAGAACAAAAATCCCTCTGGCAGGGCCCGTGGTGGGAGGTTGAGTAAGCCAGATGTTTCAGCTGCCGCTGGAAACTGGAGGGTGCGGAAGGCCTTCCCTAGCTTGGGCCATAGCCAGGGCCATCACCTCTGGGGCGTGAGGGGCCCAAGAGAAGGGACCTTTGTCACCTCCCGTTCTTCCCCACCTGCAGAAGCCTCAGGGGCCCCAAATCTTGATTAAGATTCCCCGTTATCCTGCTCTTGGCCTGAGCCCACGTGTCGCCCCCACCACCACCCCAGAAATCCTAGAGAGTTAAAATAGCGACTGCGTCAAAGCCCATCACCTTCCCAACCCTCTTATTCCACGGAGGGGGAAGTAAGGTCCAGAGACTAGTGTCTTGCCCAAAGCCACACAGCAGTGTGGTGACAGGTCTGACGCTAGAGCCCTGCGCTCCTCTGAGGAGTTAATCCTAAATTTGGGAAGATTCGGAAATGCCTGAGGGTGCGGAGACCGGGCTCGAAAGGGAGGAGAGGTCTGTGAATAACCCCCCAAGAGCTGGCTGAAGAATAAACACCGCGGGGACGTTCTTGGCGGTTCCTCGAGGGAGGCGATTGGGTGGAAGTCCCCCTACCCATGGTGGCCTTGTTGATGGAGGTTGAACTTGGAAAGGACCCCACAGAAATGACGAAGGGCACTGCGAGTCAGATGGGGGCTCCGTCAGTGGTACAGCCGCGGTAAAACACGGTCGCCCGGTCTGGCTTGACGCCTGCTCCCCCGCAGACCCCTCAGCGCCCCCAGGCCCTTTGACTCACCTGAGCCTGCCGGACAGCTCGGAGGCGCGGCCGCAGAGCGGAGCCCACGGGCGGAGCCTCCCGGGCAATTGGACCAGGTAACGGCGCAGGCAGCGTGCCCGAGATGGGGACTGCCAGGCGGCTGGAGCGAGCCGAGGCGGCGGCCGCATTTAACCCGGGGCTGGCGGTGGGGAGGGGGAGCGCGGGCAGCGACCCCTCCCACCGGCAGCGAGCGCTCCGGGTTCCTCGGAGGGCTGGGGCGGGGCCAGCGCGGCGCCCCTGCGCCTGCCACCCCGGGAGCCCGCGGCGCGAGCTGCGGGGTCGGAATTCGGCTCCCAGAGGGAGGCTGGGCGGCTCCGTTTTCGGCCGCCGGAATGTGTCGGAAGCCTCTGAGGCCCTTCCCGGAGTAGAGCCCCAAGGGGCGGAGCGGGGCCTGGCTCCCGCGGCCGGCTGCCGGGCCCCGCTTTCGAGGGCGCGGCCGGGCTCCTGCCCTCCCGGGCCCCTTCCAGGAGGGAGGAGAAGCCCCGGACTCTGGTCCTGCTTAAGGGTGAAGGGTTCAGAAGGGCGGCCGCAGGGTGCATGGCTCCCCAGGCCCCATCCGCTGGTGGTTCCTCAAATCTCTGCCCTCGCGGACTCCCCCACCGGATCTCTGCGATTGCTCAAGTCTTGGGCCCACCCACCACCCTCGCTCCTCAAAACCCCCAGGCCGCTGGACTCTGGCTGGCCCAGTCCCTTGATTGTGGAGGTCTTGTAATTAAGGGAAGGAAGGCTACGACAGTAACAGGCCCCTCCTCTTGGGAGAAAGGGGGTTAGGAGGGGTGCTTTGACCCCTGAAGGACTCAAATGTTCCCCCCAGGATCCTGGGGACACTTTTTTGGGGGGGGGGCTTCCATGTTTCCAGGCTTCTGAGGACAAGCAAGAGAGCACTCTGGGCCCCGGGGGTCCAGCAAAACTCTTCTCCCCCGCATCAAGATGTCACTGGGGTGGGCCCCCTCAAAGTGGAAGGAAACCATGCACCCTCCCATACTCAGTCTCCATCCCAAGGTGGGCACAAGCGTGGCCTTTGTGCCGCTGGGGCCTCTCCCCAGTGCTTCAGGCTGCACGGGGCACGGGCATGGTGCCAGACCTGCGGAGTGGTGCCTGGGTGGTCCTGGTGGGCGGTGGGCTCCGTTTGGCCTCATTGAGTACCTGGCAAGCTAAATATTTAACCCATGACTTACACCCAAATCCCCTCTCTTGCCTAACGCTTCCCCTCCCTGATCCCCGGTGGAGGGGGGGGGGGGCAGAACTAAATTAGTCCCTTGCCCCCATGCATTGCATTTCATTCACCCTGCTTGCTGGGGTCCATGCCCGCTCTCCCCTAACAATCGCTCCTGCCCCGCCGGCCTGCCCCCACTCCCAGGTCCTCCCCAGAGCGCGTCATGGTCCTGAGGGAAGGCGTGCGCCAGTGCCTGCAGCAACAGGGTGCGCAGACTGTGCGGATCCTGCACGCTAAGGTGGCCCAGAAGTCCTATGGAAATGAGAAGCGGTAGGTGCCTCAGCGGCCCCTCCAAGCGGCCACCTTCCACTCTATGCTTGCCTCCCAGTTTGGTGCCTTTTAGAACCCTGGGAAGGACTCAGGGCTCAACTTTTGGCCAATCACAAACCTTTTTCATCAGCCCCTACTAGCTCCCACTTTGGAACATCCCTGTGATTCTACAGTCCCCACTCACTCATCCATCCATCCATTCATTCCTTCTGTCTTTCACCAAGGACTTAGTGGGCATTTATCAGGTGCCAGGCTGGCTGGACAGCACTGGGCCCAGCACATTACAGCTCCAGATGCCAGGTACAGCCCCTGCTCTCAAGGTATCTTCACTGTAGTGGGCAAGAGACAGACCACAAACTCCCCACAGATGAGTGATCAAGATCCTTCCAGATCGTGAGAAGAGCTAGAAGAGTGATAGAATAGCATAATATAGCAGAAACTGAAGTGGGGGGACACTTGAGCTAGAAATGTCAAGATGGTGGGAAGGCCTTTTAAGCAGGTGACAGCTGAACTGAGACGAACATGAAAAAGACTCCAGACTGGAGAAAATCCAGGAGAAGTGTGCTCCCATTAATAAGAAAAGAAAATGCGCACACCTTGAAGCTGTACCAGCTTGGCCTATTCTGGTGCAAAAGAAGTCAGAGGGGCTGGAATTAGAAAAGGAGAGTGATGTTACAGGGAATAAAGTCAGAGAGGTAAAGCAGGGGCCACATTATGTGAGGAGTTCGGATTTAAACCACCGAAAGGTTTTAGGAAGAAAAGCAACATGATTGACTAGTGCTTTTAAAGAAAGGAAAAGACAGTGTGACTGCTTTGTGCAAAGGGGTGGCGGGGGGGGAAGCGGAGAGAGCCGTGGAAGGCTAATGCTGCAGTCCAGGCAAAATTGATAGCCGTTGGGATTAAGGTGGAGGTGGTAAGAGACCCTTGGATTCTGGATGTGTTTTGAATGTGGGAGACAGGACTGATTAATGGGTTGAGTGGAAGAAGTGATAAAAGAAGGTTCAGATGTTAATGGGGTCCACAGTCATGGAGAAGCCCCGGGAGGGCGGTGGGAAATGTGGAGGAACCATCAAGGATCCTGCCCCATTTATGCTGCCTTTGAGAAGTCTAGAGAAGGTCAAGTGGGGGACGGACGTGCGAGTCCAGCGCTTGTTTGCATGTCTCCGCAGGTTCTTCTGCCCCCCGCCCTGTGTCTACCTCGCAGGTCCCGGCTGGAGAGTGAAGCCAGTGCAGGGCCAAGGTGAGGGCGGACTCCTGAGCTGCCGGGCGCCTCCCCCTACTGGGGGACTGCGCAGCGAGGCCTGGGAGCCCGGCGGGTCGCAGGCGCAGTGTCGCCGCGCCCTCTGGCGGCGAGGACTCAGCTTGCCTGCCACTTGAGTCCTTCCTGAGCCCGCTCGCGTCCCTTTCCAGCCCACCAGGCAGGGGAAACCGGGCCCACGGTCTGCGGTTACATGGGACTGGACGGCGCGTCCGGCAGCGCCGCCGAGACGCAAAAGTTGAATTTCGAAGAGCAGCCGGACTCCAGGGTGAGAGCGCACGGGATAAGGTCCGATTCCTGCTCCCATCCCTGCCCCTCCTTCGGCTAGGAGGGGTCCTTTGCACCCACCACCCTCCCCGAAGAAGCCAAGAGATAGGTAGAGAGGCGGGAGGACCGGGGTTCTGCCTCGAGGGTGAGCCCGGGAGCTGGGATCGTGGGGCTTCATGTCACGTCTGATGGGGCAGACCTGGTGGCGGAGAGCTGAGATGAGACCGCCCCGCGCCCGCGCACCCCGTAGGAATTCGGTTGCGCCAAGACCCTGTACATCTCGGACGCAGACAAGAGGAAGCACTTCCGACTGGTGCTGCGGCTGGTGCACAGAGGGGGCCGAGAGCTGGGCACCTTCCACAGCCGCCTCATCAAGGTCATCTCGAAGCCCTCGCAGAAGAAGCAGTCGCTGAAAAACACCGACCGTGAGCCGGGCGGGGCGTGAGCGCCGGGCAGGGCGGGGATGGGCCACCAGGTCTGCAGCCGCGGAACTGGGGAGGGCGGAGGCCTAGACTGGAGGGGTGGGGCCAGAGCGGGGGAGGTGGAGCCTGGGCCGAGAGAGGGGCGGGGTCTGGGGAAGCAGGTGCGGCGGAGGTCGGAGAAAGAGAAACTAGGGGAGCAAGAGCAGAGAGGAAAGGGGACAGAGCCCAGACCCTGGGAAAGGGGGCGGGAGGTGGCGTCCAGAGCAGACAAAAATGGCCTGCAGGTGCTGAGCTAAAGACAAATTAATTAAAAGTGACGGAAATTTAGTCAAAAGTACCAATTCAGTGGCTGATGTAGGCCTGGCTCTGTGCTAGCTGCCGCGTCCCTGTAAAAAAAGGACAAGTGTCTGTTCTGGAGGAACCCACCGCCTAGCAGGGGAGGACACACATCGCTTATCAAAGAAACAGTTTGAAATAAGTACTACCCTAGATGCCGAGTGACAAATCCCAGGGCTGGGGGCTTTGAGAAGGGGGTGGGGCTGAATAACAATGACGACATCACCACTACCCTGGCAGGGAGGTGGGGGAAGACCTAGGGAAAGGTGGAGCTTTCCTGGCCAACATTAACACGAATCATCCTATTTGATATTTATCGTGTCCCTCTGAAGTGGGTACTATCATTGTTCCTATGTCAGGGATGAGGAAAAGGAGGTCTGGAACATTCATCCATTCATGTAATGAACTCCTGGGGCCTATCACAATTCAGGTGACAATCCAGGTGACTCGGCCAAGACTGCCCGGCTAGGAAGAGACCCAGCCAGGATTTGAACTTGAGTCAGTGTGCCTCCAGAGCCCAGCTCCTGTCCCTACATCATATTTACTTTCTGTCTATTAAAAAACCCCATAGAACCTCTCAGACCCAGGCAAGGCTCTGTCCGGCCCTTGGTATCAGGTAGGTGCTATAGTGTGGTGGTTAGGAGTGCAGATTCTAAAGCTGGGTGGGTGGGTTTGAATCCTGACTCTGCTAAGCACCAGCCAGCCTTGTGATGTGGAGAGGGTAGCTCTCTTGAATAGAGATAATGTCTGTCCCAGAGCTCTGTTGAGAGAATCAAGTGAGCTAGCATGTATAGAGCATTTAAAACAGTACCTGACACACAGCAAATGTTAGCTATCATTATTATCCAATGGATGGGAACTTGGACTAAGTATAAACTGAGCACCTACTGTATGCCTAGCAGGCGAGAGAGGGAGATGACCCAGTGCTTTCTCCCCAGGTGGTCAGAGCTCAATCAGAAAACAAAACCATGGCTCTGAGTGTGAGTGATAAGCAGGAAGAGATCAGTGCCAAGCCCTGGAAAGATCACACTGCTGTCTCACACCACATGGTCTTTGCTTACGCAGGCCCTGAGCAACTCCTACCTACTTCCTGCTCCCCAGCTGAGAGTATAACCTCCTCCAGGATGCCCTCCTTCACCCAGCCTTACCACATCATTTTGAAATTTTATATATATGTCCCTCCTCTCTGAGAACGTGAACTCCTCCAAAGCAAAACTGGGTCTAATTCACCCTTTGGTGCCCAGAACCCGGCACAGTGCCCGCCTGAAAGAAGGCACTTGGTGAACAGTTGGTAATATTACTTGCTGAGCTGGGATGCCCAGGCAGCAAAAAAGGAACAGGCAAAAGTACAAAAACAGGACTACCACAAGTGCTAGGTAAATGACCATAAAATCAGCCGAGTGTATCTAAGCCAGTGAGCATATGAGGGGACTGACACAGGGGACAGGGGACCAGAAATTGTCTGAAAAGTACAAAGAACCAAGCCAGGCTTGGGTGCTGATTTCACCTCCCCTCACAGTGTGCATATCCTCGGGCTCGAAGGTCTCTCTCTTCAACCGCCTGCGCTCCCAGACCGTGTCCACGCGCTACCTCTCTGTGGAAGATGGGGCCTTTGTGGCCAGCGCACGCCAGTGGGCTGCTTTCACGCTCCACCTGGGTAACCACAACAGCAGGCCCGGGACTGGGTGCTTCGCATGCATGAGTTCACTCCACCTTCCCTATAACCCCTTGAGAAAAGTATACTTTGCCCATGGAATTAAGGCTTGCCCCAAATTTCCGGTGAGTCTGTGACTGGTCCAAGCCATTCTGGCTCCAATGTCCAGCCCTCTCCTCTCCTCTCAAACCCCATCCCAGGAGCAAACATTTTTAAAGATAGCCACAGAGGACCCCTCCAGGACTGCATGCCGACCCCACCCATAAGACCCATGCGTGAAGTGGGGTGGAGCTAGAGGCGAGGAGGGCAGGGTTGGGGGCAAAAGCTTGAAACCCCTGAAACCTTCCTTTCTTCCCTTCCCTTTTTGCACCCCAGCTGATGAACACTGTTCTCAGGGGGACTTCCCGCCTCGAGAAGGCTACGTCCGCTACGGCTCCCTAGTGCAACTTGTCTGTACTGTCACAGGCATCACACTACCTCCAATGGTACGAGAAGGGAGGGCATACCTGGGGGGAGAGGGAAAGATCCCTACAGGTGCATATCGAAGGTGTGACCCACAAGGGCAGGGCTAGAGGCTGAGAGCCCAAGGCATAAAGACACCTGTTCTCACTCTGGATACTCGGGGCTTTGTGGGGCGGGATGGAGGTAAAGGGTGGGCGGGGCGTGGCACGGGGTAGGAGGAGCCTACCAGGGACCGCATGGCTATTGGATAGCGGGAAGCTAGCCTGGAGGGCAGCCTCTGACCACCCAGACACCTCACTGCCCAGCACTCCTTCCATTGTAGATCATCCGCAAAGCAGCCAAACAGTGCGCCCTCCTTGACGTGGACGAGCCCATTTCCCAACTGCATAAGTGTGCATTCCAGTTTCCCGGTGATCCTTCCGGAGGGGTGGGCACTTACTTATGCCTGGCTACAGACAAGGTGGTGCAATTCCAGGTGAGGGATACTGTACTGGCACCAAGCATCCTAGAAAGCCAGAACACAGAGAACCATAGGTTATAAGATCATCATCACGGCTGCTGCTTACTGAGCAACACTACCTCCCTTAAAATGTTGGAACCGCAGACTATCAGGACAGAATCCAAGAATGAAGAAAAAATGGTAATGATATCATTGAGCCATGCTCCTTCCCAGAGAATATTAAGAGTCATAGAATGTTTGGAGATAAGGTTATAGAACGAAACTTAAATTCGCAATAAGGAATAGCATGAGTATTATTGTGCAGAGATCATTAGAATCATAAAATGTTAAGCCATAGAATTATAGAATGATCACTTCTCAGCCTTTTGGCTAAGATCAAGTGTAGAATTATAGAATGTGGAAAATTACTATTATTATTACTGCTACTATTATTATTATTAAGCAGTATAACTCCCAAAAGAATATTGTCATAGAATGTTGAAATAAAAAAATTATGTAGAAAGTAACATTATTATTGAGCAATAATCCCTCCCAAAGAATTTTCTTAAAATGTAGAATAGGGGCGCCTGGGTGGCTCAGTGGGTTGAGCTTCTGCCTTTGGCTCAGGTCATGATCTCAGGGCCCTGGGATCGAGTCCCGCATCGGGCTCTCTGCTCAGCAGGGAGCTTGCTTCCCCTTCTCTCTCTGCCTGTTTCTCTGCCTACTTGAGATATTTCTCTCTCTGTGTCAAATAAATAAATAAATAAAATGTAGAATAGAATTGCACAATGTTAAAAAATAACATTCTAAAATCCTAAGAAAATGGGGCGCCTGGGTGGCTCAGTGGGTTAAGCCTCTGCCTTCAGTTCAGGTCATGATCTCAGGGTCCTGGCAGAGCACTCCACATGGGGTTCTCTGCTCAGCAGGGAGCCTGCTTCCCCCTCTCTCCTCCACCTGCCTCTCTGCCTGCTTGTGATCTCTCTCTGTGTCAAATAAATAAATAAATAAAATCTTTTAAAAATAAAACAAACAAGTAGAAAAGAAAATAGACTATTAGAAACTAGCTAGTTCAGCGAACTTATTTGCCCCTGGGAACATAAGGGTCTTGTCCAAGCTCACAGGGCAGGTAAAGCTCAGAGCCTAGGACTGGACCCCAGAATGCAAAGACTCAGGCACTATGCTGGCTCCCCCATGCCGGTGGCCACCATTCCCTCGTCTCCTCGAAGGCCTCCCCCTGCCCCAAGGAGGCAAACAGGGCGCTACTCAACGACAGCTCTTGCTGGACCATCATCGGCACCGAGGCGGTGGAGTTCTCCTTCAGCACCAGCCTGGCATGGACGCGGGAGCCGGTCACTCCGGTGCCCCTCATCAGCACCCTGGAGGTGACTCTGGGCGCTGGCTGGCGCGGGCGGGCGGGGATCTGACTCCGGGAGCGGTGGAGGGGCTGGCGATGGAGAGCAGCAGGCTCTCGGCCACGGCACCCGCTCCCTTCCTCCCTCAGCTGAGCGGTGGGGGCGACGTGGCCACGCTGGAACTCCACGGTGAGAACTTCCACGCGGGGCTCAAGGTGTGGTTCGGGGACGTGGAGGCGGAAACCATGTACAGGTACAGCGGGCGCCTCCCTTGGGCCGCGGAGGACGGGGCGGGTGCGCGTCATCGGAATCACTGCAGCCTTAACCTCGGTGCCACCCCCAGGAGCCCGCGGTCCCTGGTGTGCGTCGTGCCTGACATAGCCGCCTTAGGCAGCGACTGGCGCTGGCTGCGCACACCCATCACTGTGCCCGTGAGCCTGGTGCGTGCCGACGGCCTCTTCTACCCCAGCGCCTTCTCCTTCACCTACACCCCGGAGTACAGTGCGAGGCCCGGCCCCCCGGGCGCCCCGGAGCCCGCCCCCGACGCAGACGCGCTGCTGGAGAGCATCCACCACGAGTTCACGCGCACCAACTTCCACCTCTTCATCCAGACTTAGGTTCCCGCCCACGGCCGGCCTGGGCCGGTGTTCTGGCTCCCCAGCCCTGGCCCCTGCTCCTTTGCGGACAAGAGAAGGCCAAAGCCTGGGTCTGGGGACGCTCTCGCCATAGAAACTGTCACTCACTTGTCTTTAAATATCCAACAAGACATGACCTGAGTGATGCTGTGTGTCTGCGTCCAGACACGAGTGTGGCTCTCCCTGTGTTTGCCCAACTCTCTCTTTAAATCAAGCAATCAATCTCCTCTCTCTCTCTCTCTCCTGGAGTAACTATGCATGGCTTCCTACTTGTGTGTCCCTATCCCTCCAACTTTGTCTCTCTCTCTTCCTCCAAGTCTCACTAGGATTTCACATACTCTTAGAGGTCAGGTCTGGGGTGTTTACCCTCCATGCAGTTGTGTCTCCTCTTGAAGAGAAGACACGTGGTGTCACCCACGCAGGCATGGAGCATGGGCTCCTGAGACACACCCTGGAGCATCGTGTCCTACTTGGAGTGCTAGACCTGCCTTGGAATGCCAGCTGCCTAGAGCCCCATGGCCTGCCCACAGCACTGGCTCTTACCTGGGTCACTTGGAACTGCCTGGAGCGCTGGGGTCTACTTGGAGCAGTAGGTTACTCCTAGAGCCCCGGGTCTCACCTGGAGCACTGGGCTCCCGCAGCACACCCAGTCCCACCTGGCGCAGGTGCTTGCTGGAGCACCAAGTCCGATCCTGAACACTGGATCCCATGGGAAGCACCAAGCCCCTCCTGGGGCCTGAGGGTCCTGCCCTGGAGTGCCGGCTTCCACCCTGGAATCCAAAGACCTGCCTCTCCTCGAACTCACGCACGATGGCTGGACCAGGCACAGTACCCTTGCTTGTGTCTGCTCTCTGGCCTATGGCTTCGGTGCCTGGGACAGTGGTCAGGTCTTGCCATCTTAACTGTCCCCCCAGGCACTTGTCTTGCAGGTCCAGCGGGATGCAGTCCTGCAGATCAGGGATTCCTCTATGCCAAGGGAGAGTCTGATCTGCATGACCCACCGCCCCAAGGAGTGGGGTGCTTAGTGTACTCCCTCCCACCCTCACACAGAAGAAGGGACAACTCTGATGGAACAGAGAGCCTGCCTTTCTGACCCCTTCTGGAGAAGCAATGGCGTTCAGAAGCAGCTAGCATCCCCGAGCTCCTGTCCTTGCCCCAGGGCCCACCTGCCGGCTCTGGGGATGAGTTACCCTCCTAGCTATGCACCCCCACCAGTCCATGCAAAGATGCTCCCCGGGCCCGGGGCAAACACAGGATACAAAACACAGGACAACTCTGGGCAGAACTCCTGGGATCAACTGGGCAAAAACCAGACCACTCTGCATGGGGTCTAGGGACCAAATCACAGTCCATCCTGATCCACCTGCCCCTACTTTGTCAAGTCTATGGTTTACAGGGAAGCAGAAAAACCAGGCAGGGTCTTGGCTCTGGCCGTTGGAACCAAGGATATAGATACACCTTGGGTGCCAGAGATCGGAACCAGTCCCCATGCTGCCCAGCGGAGACAACTGATCTGAAATTCGGGTTCAGAGCTCTTACCCCTCTCGGCCCTTCCTTGAATTGTGAGCAAGGGCCCATTTCCCAAGGGGAGGAGGTGACCTTTGCTCTTTAAACCTCCCAAAGTCTTCGGGAAGTTCTGTCACCTGCTATCAGCCGGCTAAAACCTGCGATGGCAAGGAAGGAGAAGCTTGTTGAAGGACCCTCGTGCCCCTGAGAACTCATCCTGGCCCAGGAATACAGCGAACAAGTTGAATGGGAAACGGCCCTTACTGGAGAGCCTGCCTCACAAGAGTTTGCTCTCATGGCCCCGTGATGCTGTTGAAGAAGGAAGCCACTTGTAGGAGACTGAGTTTCACAGCACACCACACAGGGCACTGGGGCAAAAAGGCCCATTCAGCTGTGCCCTCAAGGACTTCCTCTGCCACTCCACAAGGCAGGAGTCCTGGAAGCCAAGATCCCAGGTTGGCCTGAGAGCCCAGGCCCAGCGGTGCAGCTCTGTCTTCTTTTTTACTCCCCTCGGGGAACCGTAGTGCCCTTGGTCCCACCTGTGTGCCCACGTGGAAGTCGGTGACCTCACAGCTCCAGCCCTGGCCTGTCTTCTGAGTTCCAGCTGCTGTTCTATGCTTGGAGGTCCTCCTAGCCCCGAACCTGAATCCCTCTGACATCTTGTCCCCTCCCTGTCCACCCCTCCCATCACCTAGTAACCCATCCCCTAGCTTCTTCCCTCACACCTCTCCGTCATGGAGGCCTAAGGGCTCCACCTCTCCACCGTGTCTCTTACACTAGAATAGGCCTCCTTCTTTCCTCTCCCTCCACCTACTACGCTGTTCTCCAAATCCAGCTCAAATATCACCTCTTCTAAGATTTCCCCAGGGGAGGAGCAGCTAGCTACATACCTTATGGGTGGGACCCAGTGCAAAATGAAAAAGTATGTGGGGGACAAAAGGAGAAAATGAAAAGGTATGGCACCTTGTTCAAACATTAAGAATTTCAAGACAGTGACACCGGAGCGTAAAAATCAAGGCAGGCCCTTCTAAGTACGGAGCCTTGAATGACGGCACAATTCACATACTCTGGCCCCACCCCGTGTTTCCCTAGAACTTCACCGGGACCCTGTGGCCACCCACCCTGGATCAAAGGGCCTTATGTACATGTCGATTGTCCCCTCTAGACTGTGAGCTCCTGGGGAAAGAGGCTCATGGCTGTGTCCCAGAGGGCACACTGGCGTACTTTGAACTTTGAGTGGGGCTCAATGAATACCAAGAGCTGTGCGTTGCATTGGCAATTAGGAGATTTGCAAGTGCAAAGTGAGGCCAGCAGGTGGCACTGTTTCCCGCCCAAGAGTTAAGTTTTCATTTACGCCTCATTCAAGAACTATTCGGGTCTTTAAAACCTAATCTTAACATTTTCGCACTGTCATGATCAGAACCCCAGGGTGGAGAATCCTTGCTCTAGTCCATAGTTCTCCAAGTTTTACAGACGAGGCAACAGGCTCAGAGAGAAGGACCACGAAACTCCAAGAACAGGATGATGGCAGAGCCCAATTTAAATCCTATACTCTTGATGCTAAATCTGGGACTCTGGGGTTCTCAGAGCAAGAATAAAGTCAAAATCTCGGTTCTAAAATCTCCTAGTTTACCAGCTCACGTTGCCTGAGGTTCCACCATAACCAGCCTAGTCTACAGACTTAAGCATTGACTCTTGGGTTTCTCTCTCTTTTGTTTCTTTTAAGTGGGGTTTTCTCAGAGGAACTGTTAAAACCGCAGTGTGGGTAGAATTCTCAGACACCTTCCTCCCTGGGGAAGACTGTAGACTGCTGAAGGCACAGACCGCAAAGACAGCAAGGGAGGGAGGAAACAGCTTCAAGGGGAATGAAACCAATTAGATAATGTCCACTAAGTTCTGTAAGAGTCATCCCTGACCATACTCACCAAAAAAAGGCCCTCCAGGCAGGCTTGGCTCTCTTCCCAAACCCCAGGGAAAAAGGCAGGCGGGGCAGTAGTGGCACAATAATGCTTTCAGGGGCCGAAGGGGTAAACACCTGCTCCAGCTGGCTGCGCGCCCCAGAGGCAGGCAAAGTTCTAGGGGAAGGCAAAGCCTTGTGACCAACTTCTTTATGGATTCCCTTTGATGATAGAGGGCTAATGGGGAGCCTACTCTGAAGAGCTCATCCCCCAGCCCCCATCTGGTTCAAACCGTCCTCCTCTCCTCCCCAGCCTTGGCTGGTGTCTGGAAGGGTGCCGTCCACACCTCATCCTGGCAAGGAGTATCCTGGGCTTGGCTGATTTTGTCCTGATACACATAGATCTATTCCCTTCTCACACTTAATGATTCATATGTGTTTTCAGAGGGATCACCTTAAAATCAAGGAATACAAATGGTAGCTTTGTATGGCTCCATACAGCCATCTTGGAGGCCAAGTTTTATGTTGAAGCTGGGCAGGTTCGGCAAGTTCAAGTCGCTTAAACGCTCTGTGCTTCTGTTGCCCCTTCTGTAAAGGGGGAAGTATTGGTTTCACAAGGCGTCCCGAGGAATAAAATAACCAATATATGTAAAACACTTTCAGCAGGACCTGCCCCACTGTCCCCACTTTATATGGGAACCTTGCTTTCATTGTCATTCCTCCAGAAGTACATTTAGAGGTGACCCAGACATTGTGTTCCCCTCCATTTCACGGATGGGGAAACTGGTGACCCAGAGGCAGGTGACCTTCCTGTATTAGTTTTCTATGTCGTGTAACAAACTAGCACAGATATAATGGGTGAAAATAACACCTGTTTACTGTCCCATAGTTTCCACGGACTGGGAGTCCAAGCAATTGCTTAGTTGGGTCATCTGCTAAGGATTTCCCAACACTGTAATCAAGGTGCGAGCCAGAGCTCACAGGGCAGTCTGTCTGAGGCCAAGGATCCTATTCCAAGTTCACAGCTGGCAAAACTCATGTCCTTGTAGCTGTAGAACTCCTGGAAGGTTGCTTCCTCAAGGTCAACAGGAGAGCATCTCTCTTCTCAGGAAGGTTCCAGACCCTCTTATCTGTGCTTTCTAATCATTATGCCTGGCCCGCCCAAGGTACTCTCCCTTTTTACTAATTCAAAAATCAACTAATTTGGGACATCAGTTACCTCTGCGAAACCCCTTTGCCTTTCCTATCTAATGTAACCTGGTCATAGAGGTGGCCTCCATCATGTTCACAGGTCCTGTCCACGTTCAAGGGGAAAGAATAACAGGTGTCTACAACAGAGGGCAGAATTATTGGGGAACACCTTAGAATTCTGACTCTTTCATGCCCCAAAACTACATAGCAAATTCCTGGCAAGGGGGAATCTTTTTGGCCTATAGGCCTCCCCATGCCCCATGGAGGAATTGCCCCATACAGGGATCCATGTTTTTACTGCTTCAGGAAAATGGCAAAATCATGAACAAAATGGCTCAATACTGTCTAAAATCTACTTTGCATCCTGTGCCCAATCCTCAGAAATAATATTATCCCAAGTTGCACTCAGAGTTAGCACTTAGGGAAATGAAGCCCTGTCCAGAGTTGGCCAGAAGCCAGGATATATGGAACCCAGCCTTTAAGATGGCTTCTAAGGGGTCTTGCCTCCTGGAGTCTCCTTTCACAATGAATGGGGCTGACCTGTGTGACCAAGAGGCTACTTCGTGGAAGTGACAGTGCGGGACCCGAGGTTTGGCCATAAAAGGCATTGTACTTTCCTGCTCTCATGGATCACTGTCTGGGGAATGGCAGCCACCAATGTCATGAAGACACACAATCGGCCCTTGAGGGTCCACATGCCAAGAAACTGCGGCCTCCTGTCAACAGCCTGCAGCACCAACTTGCCAGACATGGGGGTGAGCCACCTTGGAAGTGGATCCTCCAAGCCGGGTCAAGTTTCTAGATGACTGCCTCCTTGGTCAGCATTCTGACGACAAATTCGAGAGGCCCCACACGCCCTAGCTCAGCTGCTCCCACATTCCTGATCTGCAGAAACTCTGCGAGATACTGGTCCTTAGCCCCTCCATCAGGGGGTAATTTTGCACAGCGATAGGTCATTGGGGGGCCTCTTGGAGCTAAGCTTACCCAAAGGATGGCGCTGATGAGAATAGGGTGCCTTTTGTTGAGCACCTTCTGGTCCCTGGCTCTGACCTTCCCCTCTGCAGGCTGCTGGCACACAAGGTAACAGCTGTTAAAGCTGAAATCCAAGTTCAGAGGTCCCGAGCCACTGTCTCACATCACCCGACACAGGCCTGACCGAGATTTCTGGAACAGTGGAAATGCTCTGCCTGTGTCTGCACGGCCCAGAGCGGCAGCAGCTGGACGTGGCTGTTCACCCCTTGAGATGCAGCTGGGACAACTGAGGAACGTTTGTTTTTAAAAATTACTTTCAATTGAAACAGCCACGGGGCCACCAGCTACCAGGTCTCACAGATGTGAAGAACTTCTTCGAGAACCCGGTTATGAGGAACAGAGATCTGCTCAAGCCACCTGGGACTCGGGAGGGACTTGAGGCCAGGCTGGCTGCTTCAGAGGGGGTTAACGGTCCCAAGCAGCCTCCAGTGAAGGGGCCTTGGGCCACATAAAAGCTCTGATGGGCAATGTGGTTGTGGGTGGACTCCAGAGCCCAAGTGCCTGGGTTCAAATCCCACCTCTACGCTTGGTTAGCTGGGTCACTTTGGACGAGTCCTGTAACCTCTTAGCTGCAGCGTCCCCACCTGTATAACGGGGACACTGACAGCACACACTTTGTGGAATTGTTGTGCCAAAGAAGCGGGTGCTGGTGTGAAGCAGAGTGGGTTCTGGCACAGGCATGTGACCTGAGGGTTTGCTTCTACTGCCAGTTCCTCTGAATCCTTCGCCTGACCCCAGCTAAGCACTGGGAGACATGGCACCAAGGTTAGACCACCAAAGCCCAAAGCCCTGGAATTCAGGCTTAACTCTGCAGACAAGCTCAGGGCAGGTTTCCCCCTTGGTAAAAGGCTTTTACCAGGATCAAGAGAGGCACCAATGGCTTCTGTCCAGACCTGCCTACCACAATGCCTGAAGAGGCCAAGCAGAGTGACAGCAGGTGGACAAAGACTATGGCAACCCACAGAACCCATGTCTAGACAGATCCTGACTGTGAGCAACTTCCAACTGTGGCCATGTGGCTGGAGAGGAGCCAAATCTTATGAGTTTTTCCCCAGAGTAGTGGGGCATCTGGATTTACATGGGGAAACACCCTCATTTCTATAGTTGACACCTAATCCAAGGACTTGTTTGAAACAAGGTACCATCTGAACAAAAAACCAAGGCAGGCACGACAAGCCCACAGGTTGCCACGTGCACTTTTACTTATTTCTTGAAGAGAGACGAGAGTGAGTGAGGGCAGGAGCAGGGAGAGGGAGAAATAGGCTACCTGCTGAGCAGGGAGCCCAACATGGGGCTCAATCCCAGGACTCTGGGATCATGACCTCAGCCGAAAGCAGTCGCCCAACCAACTGAGCCACCCAGGAGCCCGCCATTTGTACTCTCTGATTCTCCTCCTCTCCAGGCCCTTCCTTGGTTTCTTACTTCTCTGCCTTTGGTGTCTGGCCCCACCAATGGGATCGGGATCTGGATCTGGTCAGGCAACTATCTCAGGGTCCACTGCTATCAAGGGATACAGAACCCAGAAAGGATGACTTCTTACAAACTTTAAAAATGACAGAGACAGGCAATCTAGAAAGTACCAGGTTTTATTATCTTATCAAAAAAAAAAATTAAGTAACAGACAACAGTGTGAGGTGGCTGTAAGATGTGCTCACTTCCAACATAGCCAGAGGGAAAGGACATGGCAAGGGGGAGGAGGGCAGTGCACAGGACCCAGCCAGCTGGGATCCCAGGTTGTAGGGGTGAAGGATGCAGGAGGCAAGGGCGACTCCCCTGTACCCCAGCCAGTGGGGACAGAAGAGGCGGCCTGCCCAGGCTAGGCCACCAGTCCTCTTCTTTGTGGAGCAGCAGGGTCACCGATAACACGCTACAGCGCCAGGGCCCCATCAGCCCTCCCCATCCTCCCAGTTTGCCCAGGGAGAGAAGGTTCCCCCCGCAAGGCTGGGGCTGGGACTTGTTAAGTCAGTTTCGTTCTCTAGCACTGTGGTTCAACAGGTGGACATGGTCTCTACCTGCCTATTCACTAAAGCAGCCCCGAGTCACATGTGGCAAATGAGCACTTGAAATGTCGTTAGTGTAAATGAGGAAGGAATTTTTCACTTTGTGCAATTTTCATTGATTTGAATAGCCACATGTGGCCAGTGGCCACCGTAGTGGATAGCACAGCTCTCCAATTTTCTCAGAAATTTGGGGAGAGCAAAGGAACACCAGTTGGGCTCAAAGTAGAAGCTACAAAGAAGGCAGAACTGCCTACCCGCAACTACTCCAGCCCAATCAGGAGAAGGCACCAGGAACAGAGAGAGACAGAGCGACAGAGAGAGAGAGAGAGAGAGAGAGAGAGGCAAAAACCCACTCAGCCACATGAAAATCCACTCACTCAACCATCCAGCCAACCTCAAATGGGACATATCACACTATTTCCTGAAAAAATATATTTATCTATTTTTCTAGAACCAAGGAAAAATAATAATATATTACAAGAAAAGAGACACAAATATCCCACCATCCCCTACATTATATTTTGTGATCTGCTAGAAAACTGTTTCAGCAAAAGCTACTCCTTAGAGGAAGCAGCTTCAGAAAGGGCCAAGGTCATCAGCAGGGGTAGTGTTAAGTATTAAAAAAAAAAAAAAAATGGGAAGGATATTTAAAGAAAAGGAGGAAAGAGGGCCCTATCTGAAGCTATAAATACTAAAAAAAAAAAAAAAAAAATTAATAAAAATCGTATCTCCATCTCTTCTCTCATTTTCGGGAAACAAAATTTTAAAAAGCCATTAAATAGAAACTTCGCAGGTACTGTGGAAAGTGCAAGAAAGCGGAGAAGGTCTTGGCATCGGCACATTCTTGCCCAGGCAGAGGCCCTACACCAAGGAATGAACCAATCAGAAAAAACTACCCCGCTTAAGGTAGATTTACAAATACTCTGCAAATCCGTTCTAGTATGGACTTCTTCTACCCAGCCTCCCTCCTTCCCCACGCCCTCCCCCAAATAAAAAAGGTTGATTTCCAAAAAGTCAACTTGAAAGAGCCGAGAATGGCCCAAGGTGTGCCACAGACTCCTGTAGTGTGGTCACAAGTGCCCTTGGATGGACGCGTCTCAAGGTGCAGATGGTTCTAGTTCCTTCTCCTGGCTCCTTTTCACAAGAGGGAGGGAGAAGGCTGCTGGGGGCAGAGCTCCAGCAGGACTCCCTTCCCGGCTTCCGAGGGGCTCTGGGTGAGGCAGGTTCAGGACAGGCTGTAAGCTGGGCCCACATTTTAAGTTTAAGATCAAGAAAGGATCCAATCCCAGACCTGCCTTCAGCAAGGCCAAGGATAACCCTATTTTTCTGCCAGGACAACCGAGGCCCAGAGAATCAAGAAGAGGCAGGGAACAGAAGATGATGTCTCTTCCGACACTTGAAACATTATCAGAGCTGGAGATGCTGAAAGGTCAGTATTAGGTAGCCCTCCCCCTACCCTAATGTCCATCCTTCCAAATCCTTCGGCTTCCCTCCCCTGTGGAGGTCCAAGCCAATCAGTGCCCAGGTGGGCACTTCAGGCATAGAACTCGTTGGTGGGGGCTTTTGTGTAGATGGGTTTCTTGCCCAGGTCGTAGGTGCCTTCGTCCTTCTTCTTCAGGCGGTACACCAGCAGCAGGACCAGGAACACGGCGAAGAGGATGCCCACACCGCCACCCACGATCAGAGCTGCAGGGGAAGAATGGGGAGAACTGGAGGTCAGGACCTTGGGCACACTGCCAAGTCCCCCCACCCGATCAGCTCTCTTACATCTAGCCTCCCCCTTGCTGTCACCTGTGCTCAGAACGACCTCATTCACAAGACTGGGGGTGGTGGGAGGGGGTCACTGTTAAGTCACTGAAGACCACAGGGCAAGTGTGGCAAAGCCACCATTCCAACCTGCACCTGCGGGAGCCCACAGCCAGGCATGCCCCTGCGACAGCTTAGCACCCACTGGCCGGGAGCCAGCAAACCCCCAGGCTCTGACAACCCGCTTTACATACTCGCCCCACCCCCGCCAGGCCTGAGCACGGCACACTGTGTAGCAGACTCTGTGTGCGCACACCTGCACGGACAGGTACAAAAGTGCTCCATGCACACACGGGCACGCTACCAAACACAGCTCGGACATGCAAACATGGGGCCATGCTACTGTGTCACAGGCAATGACATATTGTGGTTTCCTCTCCTCTGTGTGCAGCTCAGGGGCTGAGCCTACAACCCACTCCCGTTACTCATCGCTGGCTGTGCGATCGGGCAAGCGCCTTCATCTCTCTCACTGCAAAATGGAAACAGGAGGACCTTTCTCACGCACGGGTCCTAAGGATTAAATAAATTAACCCACCGCAAATACTCAGAACAATGTACGGCGGAGGCTCAGTACTCACTAACCGTAAACTCTGGTGGTTATGTGTGTCCCCAGCACCCTGAACTGGGCCTGGCACGCCAGTTATGTGTTTAAGAAATGCCTCTCCCCATTCAGCTCAGAGCAGAACACTGGCCAAAGGTGCCTGCTGGGGTCAGGCAGACACGGGCTGCTGACCTCAGGTGAACAGCTGTTTTGCAGAACGTTAGGCTGCCTGAAGGGCTCTAGCCTGCTCGTTGAGGGAGCAGGGATAGCTCACAGAATCCTTGTTGGGGCAGACTGTCCCCTAATTCGGTCTTACTACGGCTAAGGAGATTAATTTTCCATCCCTGCACATACTCCAAATCTATGCACAGAACAGGGGCAGAGTGGCACAGAGGAGCCTGGGAAGGTTCTTTCTTGGCTAAAACTCTATGAAAAAGCAACAACAAAGTGACCCCCCAAAAATACAGAAAAAGCACATGGAATGAGGTTTCAATTCCATGACTGTTTTTTATCACCCTTCCCCTCTGATAACCTCCTGGCTCTTCTTATCAGGACATTGGTCTGTGCTGGGCCTCTCTCTCCACAAGGTTCAAGGACAGTCTCAAAAGTGACTGTGGTCCTAGGTTCAAATACCAGGGCTAGTTTTGTGACTTTGGACATGTGATTTGGCTTCGCTTGAGCTTCCAGAGAGCCAGACATACGTACCTGTCTGATCGGGTTGTGGGGACCCAGTGAGGGAGACACACGGATCAGAAGGCATCTAGCAAGCACCCAGGTGCCACCGGGATGTTACTGGAATGGATGGTCTCACCCCAACTAGCACAACAGTTACACCACTTCTCACATGAAGATCTTACACGTGTCTAATTCTCAACTGGAAGGCTTAAGAGATGACCTCGCTTTGGTTCTGTCTCTTGTTATGTGACCCAAGCAAGTGGTTTGCTTTCTCTGGGCCTCAGTCTTCCCATTTATAAGACACACTTGCTTGGACTAGATCAGTGGTTTTAACATTTTTCTTTAAAAAGCAGCAAAACCCTTAGCTGGTGCATGAAAAACCCTATGCTGATCCCACGTACGCCAGCTAAAAGCGAAACTCTGTGGTTGAAAAAGATGGGGGAGGTTTTACCAAATATTCAGAAGCTTAGAAGGTGAAAAGGTCTCTAAGGGCTTCTCTGGTTCCAACAGCACCCACTACCCCTCTTACATGGCACAGCAACCAGGAGGCCAGGATCAAGGCTGAGCTGGGCCCAAGGTCACCTGGGGTTATATTCTCCCAGGAGCCTTATCTGCAAAATACAGGGCACAGATCTCTTTCCTTGTACCACAAGCCTCCTGGGAGGTACTAGCCCAGTTGGCTGCCAGGAGACAGAAGTAACCAAGCCTGGGCCCGGGGCACCCATTCACCAGGTTGGTTCATGCAGACAGACCCTTGGCCTATTCAGACTTGGCCAGAAAGACAGTTCCCTCTGACAACCCAGATCCCAGAGCTGCCAGGGAGGGGAAAAGGGAGCAGTGGCCACCCCAGATGAAGACCACACCCGAAGCCCCATCCTGGGGCAGAGCTCCCACAATAGCACACCAGTCAAGAACCCTGTGGCTCTCACGTCAGGCCAACCCTGAACCTCTCTCTCCAGGCCTCGGTGTCTTAATCTGTCATAGGAAGGACCTCGATATGCCACCCAGGATTTAGTCAGTGAGGACTCAATGACAGCTTGTACCAACAAAACAGGAAAGTGCTTTCCGGGTGCCCAAATTATTTCAGATTCTAATTTTCAAGGAGTTATGACACCTACCAAGGGGTAGCATTGTACCCACTCAGAGAGGAGCAAACTGAGTCTCCCCTCCTCCAATGGGGTTGGAAAGCTTCTCAGCCAAGGTCATAAGGCCATCAAGTGACCAAGCAGGTAGATGGGGAGACAACCCAATCCAAGGAGTCTTGGGGCTTTCAAGGGACTTTCAAGGGAAGTCAATGTTTAATAATTAACTCCCCAGCACCAACCACCCACCAGGTTGTGCAAATGTTTTGAAAGGAAGACAGGACTTAACAAGGCAAGTGACGACTCTCACGCTGTTCTTCAGAAGCCTTTGATATGCAATTCTTCCTCTCCCTCCGGCAGGCTACAAGCCCCATCAGACCCACCCCCTAGGGAGGGGTAGTCCTTGAGTCTCCAGGGTACCCTGTGGTGGGAAGGAAGGGGCACCAAGGAGCCCAAGGCATCTGTGTCTGCAGCACCATCTCCCCTGAGTCCCCTCCCCCTTCAAAGTCTCTAGTGAGAACCTCACCTGCCAGAACCTCGGTCCTCTCGAAGATGCTGCTGCCTTGCGCAGTGCTGGACATGGACACCCTGTTAGACACGTCCTCGTCCCCTTCGAAGGGCGAGATCCTTTTGGGGATGACCTCGTTCTCCTCCAATTCCTTGGGTTCACTGGGGACCCAGCTGCCAGGCCCTGCCCTGTCAGGGATATGGTTATCTAGAGGCACCTGGATGGGGTGGAAGGAGGAGAGACAAACACTCAGCGTGGCCTTGGGACGCACCCGGGCAGGGGACAGGAACACTCAGCCAGGGAGGGAGTCTGCTTCTGCCATCGTGCTGGCTGAACCAGGTGGGCCTGGGACAGAAAGCAGCACCAACCAACCTCTCAACCACTATGCCATCGAATGCTCACCCTCAACCTTTCCAGATCTGTCCCAAATGGGGAATGAATAATGGGACCAGGGTGCTAGGAAGCACGTGTTCCCATTCGCTGCTGGTTACTGGGTATTTGAGAATCGCCACCCGGAGGGCAAAGCTGCAGGCAGAAACTGCTTTGCCCTTTAAGGCAGTAACTTTGCCTATGGGTCTCTGTCCCAAGTTGCTAATCAGATATTTGAGTGAAAGACACCTGCTTAGTGTTATAATTTCAGGAAGTCAAAAAAATCATAAATAACATTTTCATCAATAAGGGAAAAACAGTGAACTAGGATTATGCAGCCTATATAAATGCCTAGGAAGTGGATTTAATTATGTGGGCAAACATACTCAAACTCCTGACCACTTTAAGTGAAAAATACAGCACACACAACTGTTATCTACAATTTGATATTTATGTTGGGAAATACCTAGGAATGCACAGAAAGGACCTTGGAAACACATCTAAGTGTTGACAGTGATTATCCCTGCAGGAAGGATGGCCCACCCACGACCCTGCCCCTACGATGCCGAGGCCACAAATAAAAGCTTTCTTGCAGCAGGAGGTCAGACCCTCAACTTATGGACCCCTCCCAACAGGTGTTACAGAGGAGCACGTGGGGAGAGGCAAAAAAGCATGAATTACTCACCAGGGGTTGGATCACTTTAGGAAGGATCTGGGGGTCCTCTGAGTCATCTGGAAGGTCAGAAAGGCTGTGTGAGTGGTCACTTCCCCGTAAATAAAGGACCTCCCCCTTTATCAGCCACAGCTGGTGGGAGTCCTAACGTACAACCTTCCTATGCTCAAGGTACAACAAGTGGCCATTCCCACCTCACCTTCAGTTACCTCATCTGTAAAATGGGCTCCCTGGTTCTTTCACAAGAATGCTGGGCAGGGAGTGGAGCAGATACTCTGTAACCCCTGCTCTTGGATTCAGGGACCAAGAGCCTCTCCTGGGAGCTGGTCAGGAATGTAGAATTCCGGGGCCCACTGAATCAGAGTCTGTATTTTCATAAGATCCCCAGGGGAGTTCTCTGAGAAGACTCTAGATTGTAATATTAAATATGAGACTATCTTTCACAGCATTTACAGATTTGGAATCCAAGGCTCAGAGGTCACAGGAGACAGCATGATCTCAAAACTACGTGACTCCAAAGTTCCAACTTCTCATCTTTCACACCCCTCTGCACCCAGGAAGGATGCTTCTGGAGGAGCCAGGGAATCACAGAAGACCAGGAACAGCCCTAGCTCCCCCTCATCCAGGGCCCAGAAGCCTGGCCCCTTCACCCACCCCCCCCACCCCGAAGCAGGAGCTTGTTCCTGGCTCCCCACCCACACCTCTGCCCACACATGCTCCCAGGCCTTTGAGTAGGTCCTTCTCCTTTTCAGAAGAAAACACTGTCAGGTCTTTCCAGCCCCACCGCCACCAGGCCCCCAGCCACAGGCAGACAGGTCCAGGCCAGTGCTCAGAAAACCTAGAGCTACAAATGAACTCCAAGCAACAAACAACTTGCCCAAGGAGGGTTGCCAGGAATGGAAAAGGGTTGATAGTTACTTTTGTTTCCTCTTTTTTGAGAGGGGAGGAGCACTGCAGGAAACCACCCAGAACCAAACCCAAGTTTCCAGGCAAGCTCACTACCCTGTGCTCGGTGAGGTCACTTTCCCTCCAGCCCTAGGACCCCAGGCAGCCCACCACACACCCTCCATACCCAGATCTCCAGAGCCAGACAGCTCAAAGTCATCGGGTTCCTGCCCAGGGCCCCCAACATCCTCGTCGTCTGGTAGGGCTCCAGAAAAGTATCGGCCTTCTACGAGGTCTTGGGGGTCAATGAATTCAGTCTCTCGGATCTAAAATAAAAAAGGGAAGCCACCTCAGCCACATCAGTAGCCCCCCGGTGCTCTGTAACACCCCCCCCCAGCCCCAAAACGCAGTGAAGTGGGCATTCAGTAAGATAACCTGGGGTGCTGGAATGTAATCAGACCAGAACCTGGAGGACACCCCTCCTGGTCCCCAACTTGCTGTGTGACCTTAGGCAAATCTCTTTCCCAACCTGGGCTAATAAAACTCATCAAGTTTTATTTATTAAAACTCAACAACATTCAATATTACTAGTTACCACTGACTAAACAATTATTACGTGTCAGTCCCTGTTCTCAACACCTAAGGCATATATTTAACCTCATTTTACAACTGAGGAAACTGGGCATTTCCTTTTCACACCAGCAATAGGTGGAAGCGTGAGGATTCAGCATCAAGCTGCCTAATGACAGAACCACACAGGCCGGAGGGTATAACACTCCAGGGTTCCAGGATGCTCCTGGAGTCACAGCTGATTCACCCAAAGCAGGGAAAGGGCGGCCAGCCCTGGTCTTGCCCAGTCTAGGACACCCTTCCCAGCTGACTCAGACTGGGCTGGGACAGACAGAGCTGGCTCACCCACACCCTAGGGCAGCCTCAGGCCAGGCACTGCGCAGACCTGGTGACTCACAAGTCCATTAGCACACTCTTCTACTCAGTTTTCCAGCATCTCCCACAGATCTGTTCTGTACCAGCCCAGGAGAGGGTACAGAGAGGTACCCTGTGGACGGACCATCCCCTCCAGCACCCACAAATGTCCTCTGTCCCTACCCCACAGGGGCCCAGCCCATCACATCACAGCAGAATCTTAAGTCCACTTCCACCAAGAAGCTTTCAAAGGTAAAAGTATCAAGGTCCAGGGAGGCAAAGGCTTCCCCAAGGTCCGATTAAGAACATCAGCTACTGTTCCCATCTCCCAGAGCTCACAAGGGTAGGAAACATTCAGAATGCTTACCACCTTTCTCTTAGCTCTGGGGCTAAGGCTTCCCAAAGAACAACCCTGAGCAAAGTCCCCCCCACCCCCACCATTTACTCAGATACTAAAGTGCCTACTATTTAGGGGCTCTGCTCACAACCCCCAGAATACCAGCTACAGAGGCCAGGGAGGGCCCGTCCTCTCATTTCCCAGAATCGGGAGGGAATTTGAGCTCTGGACAGGAGAGTGACTTGCCTAAGGTCACAAAACTGAGTCAGCCAGATAATTCAAGAGTGGAGAGGCCAAGTGTCTTTTTGACTGCTGCAGACTGTCCCTTCAGCCAGCTGAGACTGTCAGTGACGGGAGTTGGGGAGGGGGTGGTGTGTGGACATCTGTTCCTAGAACAAGGTAAGCATTGCAGGAGAGGCCCAGGCTCGTTGGAACTTCCTCCACTGGCTTCCGGGGAGAGGTGGGCAGGACCTGACTCCAGTGCCCTCTTCCACCCCCGGAAGCGTAGATGCTGGATTCCGGGAAGGGAGGAGGGTCAGGTTAGGAGGAAGGCAGCGGGCACGCAGCCCTCTTCCACCGGATGGGACAGTCTTTGTTGAACACTGGGCACACGTGGGGGTGGGGAGCCAGAAGGGGTTAAGCCCTGGTTGGGGATGACTTCATGACTCGGGAATCAGGAGCTGCTGAGCTGCTGGTGTTGGAATTCCAACCCCCGCACACAGCCCCGTGCTTGTGGCTATGGTTTGGCAGCCTGGGAGGAAGGCTCCTTACATCGGTTGCGAAACTGTCCCTGGGGCGAGGTCCCTGTGTTCCCGCCCCCATCTCCAGCCCTGAATTCCCCCAGGCTCCAAATCTCCAAGAGCAGGACCTCTCAAGCCCTTAGCAAACGAAGTACATCCTCCTGATAAATCCTGTGCAGAAGTGGAACTGGGTCCTCAGAAAGGTTAAGTGGCTTGCCCAAGGTCACGTTGGCAGAAAGCGGCCACGCTAGACCAGAACGAGGCACACCTGAGCCTTTCACCACTGCGCACGAACACCTGCAGGAACACACGGGCACACAGAATGCCCAGCCACCCAAGCTAGCCAGGAACCCTAGCAGCGAGTGGAGGTCAAATGCAGCCCAGCAGAGGAAAAAAAATGGTCCTTTGGCCACTTGTTGACCTGGCCCAGAGACCAGACCACCTGTGCGAGTCACAGCTCCAAGTCCCGCAGAAAGGGGCTGGGGTCCCAACACTGGGCTGTTTCAGGTAGCGTTCCTGTCCCCCGGAGCCCTGGAATGTTGTTTACTCGTCCTGCCCTTCTTTTACTATGTGAAAGTGCTAAGGGGAGTTTCAAAACAACCCATGGAATTAGCATGCTGATTGGCTGAGAGTTACTAGCTCAGTTTTTTCATTAGCCAGATGGAGACTAGGAGAGGAATGGCCGTCTCGAAACCAAAGCTGAAACCCAGATTCACTGGCAGTTCAGCCCTCTCAGGGGTTGCCTGGTGATCCCTCCCCTTTCCTTTCTATACCAGGTTCCTGGAGAGGATAGATGGCTTGGCTAAGATCGCACCAGGGGTCCGCGGCACAGCCAGTTGTCGACCCAGTCAGACACCTATCCCAGGGCACTCAGGACACATTAGAGGGGCCAATGTGCCTTCCTCCAGCAAGTCCCCGGGCGTGGAAGAAGCTCTGTGGGGCATGCTCATGGGAGGGCACAGGAAAGCAAATCCCTCTTCCAGAAGCACCCTCTCTCTCTCTGCTCCTCTCTGCCCCTGACTCCTGACAAGAGGGAAATTCCCAAACGGGAACCCTTTAAGACTAGGTCAACAATGGGCAAGCCTCCCTTTGTGTGTATGGGGGTGAGGGGCATGCCAGCAGCCGGCCCTTGACTCACCCGCTTTGCAGACAAGGCCCATTCAGGCTGGGGTGGATCTGAAGAACCAGGCCACTCAGCAGCCAGAACCAGCCTTGACCAGAGAGAACCTACCATGCTCCCAGTGGAGCTTACCCATCTGTTCCCCATTCACCCCCATCCCTGCCTGCGGACCGTGTGTTCACGGGGGAGTGTGCACGCACAGGCATCCTCTCTGGGCCCTTGGGTCTCCTTTCTCACAAACCGCAACAGAAATCACCAGCTGAATAGGTCAGTGGGCCTGGGTCCCACAGACCTTGCTTGCCGTGGGGCTGGTGGGCACCTGGGGTTGGTGACGGGGGGGGGGGGGGGGGGGGCTTGAGATGCTGGATGCCGCCCCAGATTAGCCACAGAGGAGGGGGGAGGTGCACTTCTGTTCTAAAGGAACTTGGTTACCAGAAGGTAACCAAGGCCGCTGAGCCGTATGGTCTCATTTTATAACCCGGCAAGCATATTAAAAGACAAAGGACTTTGCCAAGGACTGCCAAGCACTTGGCCACAGAGCTGGACTTAGAACCTAAGTCTCTGTGCTTGAGGCTGGAGTTGTCCCCCCGCCCCGCCCCACCCCACTTCAAGGATTCTGACAGCAAAACCAAGGGTCTCAGCAAATCCACAGGCTGCAGCTGTCATTCCAGACATTTCCACATCCAGTCCCTTACACTACAGGCAGGAAGCTAGGAAAAGGTCACCAACCCAAGCCCAAAAAGCTTCAGTCCTCAGGAAAAAAAAGCACACGCAGGGTCTGGGGTGACCAGCTCAAATATCCACTTCGCGCCAGGCACCAAGCTGGATTCTCCTCTTTATGAGCTCATTTGTCCAATAGTCTCGAAACGTGCTCTGGCCATTCTGGAGGGAACTCAGGTGTAACGGAGTCATTTATTCAAAGTCACACAACTGAAAGCAATGGAGCTGGCATTTGAACTCAGATCTTTCTCAAGACCATGCCTCAGCCACAACCAGATTTCTCACTGCCACCCACGCGTCACCTCTCCACCCCAACCCTACGTTGCCAGGCCAGGCTCCACCAGGGAGCAAACAAAGGTGAAAGTGATACTGCTTGAACAAAAGAACAAAAACTTGGCTAGGGCACCAGTGAGAAGTTCAAGGTCAAGACCTGGTCAGCTGGTGGGAGGAAAAGAGAGAGGAGAGCCTCCCCCTCCCCCAACTCTGCCCTCAGGCTCCTTCCCCAGCAGAGGTAGAGTCTGGGACACACTTGACCTTTCTTTCAGGAGGTGAGACCAGAAGGACAATCCTGCAAGCCAAATTCAAGGGGGCGGGGTAGGGGGGGAGCAAGGACACTGAACCCACCAGAGTGATTCTGACCAGAGATTCCCCAGAAGGGGCCTCTGGTACAATCACTGACTTCCCCCATCCCTTCAGAAGGGTCAGGTACTCCACGGAAGGAGCAAACTGGGGAGCCACAATCAGAGCTCTACACTCCGGCAGAAATGAAGGATCTGCCAGCAGAGTGGTTACCCACAAGCAAAGCAGAGTCTGGCCACCTTCTAACTACCAGAGTCTTGGGGCATACGTCCCATCTTGAACCCTCAGCTTTCTCTTTTGGTCAGCAGGGCTAAGAGTGCCCTGCAGGATGATGAGAATTAAGTGCAATGCATCAGTGTGTGCAAGAGACCCAGCATATGGCCTGGTACACAGCAGGTGCTCAATGAGTCGAAGCTATTATTAATCCCCACCTGCCTTCATTCAGGCTAAAGGGATTAGTGCTCAAAGGGTTCAGAGACCAGGGAAAAGCTGTGGAAGCAGTTCCATTGCTAGAAAGTGGTCAGTGGATGGGGGTTGGGGGGAGTGTGCTTTGCAAATCGTGAATAAATACCTATAATGAATTTACTTTGCTTCTGGGACCAGACTTTTCAACAACCAACCAGGTCCCTTGAAACTGCAAAGAACCCAGAGATGGGTCCATACAACTTGGGAGTCCCCGTTCTACTAAGAATGAAGCAGTGCTATTTTTCCAAAAAGAAGCAAAAAGCAGTGACCAGAGACACCTGACATTCTACTTGGGGACCTGTACCCCCGGGGTATTTCCTGACCTTCCTTGGGGACAAAAAAATATCCAAAGGCAGAAAGAAACCACACACCAATCCACAGCCTGGTGCTCTGGTACCTGAAGGGTTAAGGCAGGTCTGGGGTTCGAATGTCCATCAGCTC